CATTAATAGAGTTCCGATAAAGCCTACCGTGGGAGGATGGACATTTTTCCTTATTCTTAACTTTTCAGTCATAGCACAACATTTTATACTTGGATGTTTTTTAAAACAGTAATTTCGCTTTGAAAGCAAACATGTTTGTTATATCTCAGGTCTTGGAGGATGCAGAGTTCCTACAGTATTGTTTGCATGTTACAAACTATTGAGGCCTATGCAATATTTGGCACTGCAAAATGTCTACGAGTGATTCTTGAAGTTAAAACAATGCTGATGTTGAGATTGAAAACAAGTATGAACTATCAGTTTAACTAACTGTTGTTTACAGTGTTAGGCTACTCCACCTATAGTAGACCTATACATAGTTTTAAATCAGTCAAGTTCACTGAATCTTCAGAAACAATGAAATCTCAAATGTTTCTCCACCAAATCTACTTGAACTCTTGAGAGGTAAAATGATTAAATGCATGCTAAGTCTCCTGGTATGGTATTTAGTCTGTGTTTGTATCTCCAATTCCTTAAAAGCTGTCACAATCGTTCAGTAGGTTGTGGAGCTGACTATCAACGAGGCCTTCCTCTGCCACCTCTTCCCCGACTCAAACTGCTCTTTTGTCTTTTTATCAGAACTCAGAGGGGTTGCGTTGTAATTTTCAAGAAACAACACAACCTTTTTCTAACTTTATTTCATTAACATTTGGTATGAAAGAAATGTTGATGGCACATTCGATCTACATACATAAATATGTTTTTCACACATGATGTGCACTAACGTTTTATTATCCACTGTTTCATGTGATTTCTTATTTTCTGTTTCTCTGGACCATTGAGTTACTATCGAGCTAAATGTGCGGATAAAGATTGTTAGATATTTGGGTAAGCAACTATTTCATGAAATACATCTGCTATTCCTGTGAATATATCTCTGTAAGTATGACTGACGGATGGATAAACATATATCATAGGATCACAGCTTGCTTGGAGAACAGCTACAGCAACACATTTTAAGGACAAATGAATACATTATAGGGTTAGAGTTAGAAATACAAATCTATTTCTTCCACTAAAGGCAGATTTATAGTTGTGTGTTAAGGTGTTAAGGCATTGCTAATAAGCTGTAGACTACACCATTGCTAATATGCACCTCCTCCAAAATGTTACCACACATCTAAGGAGCTAGCTGCCTACTGCACTGCAAAGACACAACGTGTGGAGTGAAAGACTGGGTTTGTCATCTTGGGTTCTCTCCTACATCATCAGCATGCGTCATCGTGTGAGCTTAGAACTTAGACAGAGGTAACATCTCCCCACAGGTAGTGATCTGTGATCACGTGATCGAAAACCCTTTGCCTGATAAAAACCTGAGCTATAATCATTGATTGACAGTTGAAAGCTGTCATTCGGTTGGCCTCCAGGATTCAGTCGTTGTTAAGTGCAAAGAAATAAAGAAGAAGAAGAAGAAGAAGAAGCTGTAGTGAAAGCAAAAAGAGATAAAAGTATGAAGAAGATAGAAGAGAAGGAAACTGTAACCGTTCAGTAGTGTGTGTGTGTGTGTGTGTGTGTGTGTGTGTGTGTGTGTGTGTGTGTGTGTGTGTGTGTGTGTGTGTGTGTGTGCGTGCGTGTGAGGGAGAGAGAGGGGGTAGTGTGTAAGAGAAGGGCAATAATGCCAGGGTTTTTGGAGGAGACTCACTTTTACTGTCACATCGATCAGACTACAGAATCACACACACCCCACTCCTCTCATTAGGAGTCATTGTGGAAAGTAAAGTATTGAAGTGAAGAAATTAGGCTGGCTTTAATTTAATACACAGTTTTCAGAATAGTTCCACTATTTTTGGGAGTAAGACTTATCTACTTGTATTTGGAGAAGATGAGTACCATGTCTCTGTGGCATAAATAGGAAGTTAGTAGCTGTTTAGCTTAGCTCAGCACACAAACTGGAAAATAGGGGGACAGCTAGCCCTTTTCAAAAAATCCATCTAACAATACTGGATCAACATTATCACTAATTGAGTTTGCAGCTTTAGCATGGAGCTAAACACCCTTATGACTGGTGATACACACGTATTACTGGTTAGAAAATAAACACTTATAAACTAATAAACATATTCAAATAGAAGATAAAACAGAACTAAAAGAGTTAGAATATAAAAGTTGACAGTGATAAATAATATGTAAACTATCTGACATAAAACACTATTGACGGGATAAATTACAGCTAACACAATATATAAGTGGAATATTTTTTTACATTTAGTGTGCAAGGATGACATATTAAATTAACTATAAATGTAAAATGTACAGTGAGAAGTTATAAGTCTAGTTAACAAAAGAGAAACTATGGAGCAGTGAGTTCTCCGCCAGTCAGAGGTGAGTTGTTATATATACTGTAGGATGTAATTGTTCACAAAAAACATTGGTTTGCCTGTTTGAGTCTTTAAATTGAACTGAATTGTTTTCAGATTGATGGTGGGGGGGTTTTGTTACCCTTTGGATGGAGCTCAGTTAACTTGCTGCTTGCTCCAGCTTCATATGAAAAAATGTGAAAGCAGTATCAATCTTCTCATCTAACTTCCAGCAATAAAGCAAATATGGGTAATAGACCCAGTAGAACATTCAGAAATAACAGCGTCAAATGTATCAGATTTACAAAGTGACACAGGCTTATCCAAGCAACTGCAGCGGTATTAGTGTTATTTATAATGCAATGACAATATGGGAACAGCATATATTATGGTTGTTGTCTTTGTTCTATATCAGCTCCTGGGAGGAGATTTAAAAAGGGGGCAGGGTACATGTGGAATAAAAGAGGCTGGAATTTTGCACATAATATATTTAAAAAATCTAACTCTGCATACACAATAATTGTATAGGTACTGAAACCCAACCAACCACACACGCACGCACGCACGCACGCACGCACGCACGCACGCACGCACGCACGCGCGCACGCACGCACGCACCGGAACATTGATGGGGGGTTCATCGGGGAAGTACAAAGGCAGCTAGATACCTCGTTGTCCATGGCAATTCCGCAAAAACCCTGACGTAAGAATCAAGGAAGAGAAGGGGTTCTGACAAGAGGGAGATTTATTTCCAAAATTTAATTTAGTGGTTGGGTTGTAATCTCGACCCCTCTAATTTTATTCCACTACTTATACGAATGTTATTTACTTACATGAGACACAACCTGTCCCACAATATTTTTTCCTATTCATAGGAAACATTTTTTCAGATGTAAAATTCATGTTAAGGTTAAAGAAGACTTCCATTTGAATGCGTACTGAACCAACGAAAGATGTACCATACCCTTTTTGAAATTGAACCGACTAACACAGGTTGTGGGTTTAACTAAACACCCGGGCATCATAAGGAGCAAAAAGCATGGTTCTAGATCCAACGGGACACAACTGAAATCGACAGGAAGTACCCGAAATGTCCCCCTGGAAAGGAGAATTAACGAACAGACAATCCCTACACTTAATCGTAATGGACCTCACGACCTGTGTGGTGTGGTGTGGTGTGTGTGTGTGGTGTGTGTGTGTGTGTTGTGTGTGTTGTGTGGTGTTGTGTGTTGTTGTGTGGGTGTGGTGTGTGTGTGTGTGGTGGTGTGTGGTGTTCGAGAGGAGTCTCCTTCTCTCTCTTAGTAAAGATGAAAGGACCCAACAGGTGACGATCCAACTGGATAAAAACAGTCTGGAGGGAGAGAGAGAGAGAGAGAGAGAGAGAGAGAAGAGAGAGAAGAGAAGGAGAGAATAGAGAGAGAGAGAATTACAAGAGAGGAAAGGTGAAAAGCATGCGGGGTGTCAAGTGGGACCGAATTATTAAGTGATGCGAATAATTGCGAATGAGATGATTTACTGTTCAGCCTTTTGTTGTGCAAGAAATCTAATAAAAAAAAGTTTCGGGTATTGTATATCGTAGTTACGGATTGAATTTTATAATCCTGTACATCGTTAGGTCGCGGGGGAGAGAGACGGGGGGGGCGACACATATGGTTACCTTCAAGTTCCTAACATTCATAGACCATTCTTGATAATTCACCCCCCATCAATGTAAGTGGTAATAGTGAAACAATGTCCATTGCCTTTCACTCTATGCCTTGCAAATTCTTGTGCTGTACCACCACCACACTAACATGACTCTAATAACGATCGATACGTGTCTGAGCGAGACGGACTACCTTAACCTACCGGCTAACCGTACGGGTATCGCGTGGTCTCCTTCCTCCTCCGTTCCTCAACAACTTACGACCGATGTGGGACACGGGGACAACACACACACACACACACACACCACACACACACACACACACACACACAACACACACACACACACACACACACACACAACACACCACACACACACACACACACACACACACACACACACACCAACACACACACACACACAACACACACACACACACAC